TTATGTTATGTTATGTTATGTTATGTTATGTTATGTTATGTTAGTAGGCTCCATGCCCAGTGTGGAGCCCAATGCAGAACTTGAACTCAGGACCTTGAGGTCAAGACTGGCTGAGATCAAGACTCACGCCCTTAACTGACTGAGCCACCCAGGTGCCCACAGAGTGATGACTTTAAAATGTTAATCTGATTATAACAATTTTCCTCTAGAAAAGTAAATAAGATTAAATATAAAAACTCTCAGAAGCTTTCTATTTGGTTAAAAACAGAGAATCCTTAACATGCTCTACCCAGTCCCTGCCCTGTCTGGCCCTGCGCCTCTCCAGGCTGTCTCAGATCACACTTGCCCTTGTTCTTTGCTGGCTTGCCTTCTTTCATTTCCTCAAACTCAGCATTCCACCTCTCGCCATAGGGCTTTGGCATGTACTGCATGCTCCCTCTGCCGGGAACACTCTTCCCCAGTCCCAAGTCAGTACTTCCTTGTTCAAACCTTAGCTCACTGATACTTCCTCAGGGAAGCTTTTCTTCCCTGGTCTCTCAGACTGGCTTGTAGCACTGTGTCTCTCTACTGTCAATGTTGTGATTTTACATTTGTTATCTCATTTGATGAATTGCTGCCTTCTCCGGAAGATTATAAGACCTGTGTGGGCAGTGCCTGTGCCTGGATGGGGACCCGGCACCTAGCAAATGCCTGGCCCAGAGTAGACCCCCAGAGTAAATATTTGTGGAATAAATGAGTAAGGATAATAATGGCAAGTTTAACCTAGTGGATCATCTGTTTGTCGCCTTTGGTCACAGTACCCTTGGACCTAGCTGAGACACGAATAAACAGCAAAAGCCTAGATGATTGTTGTTTCCAAGTTCTCAGTTTGTGATAGATTCATTGGGAGGTATATGGACTATTAGACATGCCAAGTGCCTTGACTGAGGTAGGACAGCTTAATGTGGTGTGGGGGAAATAGCTATATAGTAGTCCCTTACCCCCTTTCCCATGGTTTCACTTTCCGAGGTTTCAGTCGGCCGGCCGCAGTCTGATGATCCTCCTTCCTCCTTCTGACACTGTCATCACAAGTTCAGTAGTGCTACCCCTTCCCCACTCATGCTCTGTCTCTCTCTCTCTTTCTCTCAAAAATAAAGAAAAACATTAAAAAAATTTTTTTAAAGGGTGGGGGGCGGGCCTTGGATGGTTCAGTCAGTGGGTTAAGCATCCAAACTTGGCTCAGGTTATGATCTCACGGTTCATGCGTTCAAGTCCCGCGTTGGGCTCTGTGCTGACAGCTCAGAGCCTGGAGCCTGCTTCACATTCTGTGTCTGTGTGTCTGTCTTTCTCTCTTTCTCACTCTCTCTTCCTCCCTCCACCCTCCACTCATGCTCCCTCTCTCAAAACTAAAAAACGTTAAAAATTTTTTTAAAAAAAGTTCAGTAGTAGCTTAACACTATGTCGCCAAGTCTATATCATTCACCTCACTTCATCTCATCAGATGGGCATTTTATCATGTTACATCATCACAAGAAGGGTGAGTACAGTACAATAAGACTTGGAGAGAAAGTGACCACGTTCACATAACTTTTATAAAATTATATTGTAATAATTGTTCTATTCTATCAGTTACTGTTACTCTTACAGTGCCTAATTTATAAATTTATCGTAGGTATGTACATATAGGAAAAACCATAATTTATGTAGGGTTCAGTACTATCTCTGGTTTTAGACATCCACTGGGGGTCTTGGAATGTGTTCCTAGTGGATAAGGGGAGACTGCTCTACTGCATGGTAATCTGTTGTAGGTAAGAAGAGCTTACTGTGTGTATGTAATTCTTTTGCACTTACTAGAGTACTGAAAATGTGTGTGTATGCATATTTATGTATATATGAATAAATATACACATAAAGGTGCCACGCATTAATATAATGATTCCTTTTTTTTCAAGTTCTCAAAATGTTATGTAAACTTAAGATACCGTTTTAAGGTTCTTGTGCCAATGTATTCATATGAATAAATATACTCATAAAGATGTTATGCATTAATGTAATTGTTCCTTTTTCACAAACTAGTAATGTAATGTAAACTTAAAATACCATTTCCAGGATTCTTGTCCCAATATAACCCTACTTCATGTAAAATTTATTAAACTGTTTTTGATAGTAATTCAACTTGTAAATAGAAGTTCACATTTGCACTAAAGAGATTTGCTAGGCAAATACTGTATGAGATTTCAGGAACCAAGAGCCCACGTAACAGAAAGAAAACATTTTAAAGTTTACTGATGGTAACTAAACCCAGCAGCCTCCCTTATCTAGAACATGGTTTAGCACTAAGATGTAGGGAAAAAAGGCTTTCAGCCGCCAAAGAGCCTGTAACAAAATCTGTCCTTTGAAGTTCTTTGATTTTACACTTATGAGAGTTCCAAGGGCATTGGCTCAGGATTCACAGACACTTACTTAAGATATTCTTGTTTTCTTGTCCATTTGGTGTCCCTAAAACACAGCAATCAAAAGCAGCCAATTAGAAGGACTAGGAGTATGAGGGACAGGTTCCCTGATGGCAGCAATACTGGCAGAGATATTTGACAGCCAGAGAGGAGAGAGGGAGGGAGAGGAGGATGTCACAGCATTGCTGTTGGGGGACACCTGGTGTGGGAACATTCTGTTCCACATACCTGGATAGCTTCTCAGATTATGAATTTTTTGAATGACAAAACTTTCCACATTACTTCTTGAGCACCAATTTCCTTATTTGTAGAATGACTATGAAGAAGATTGTTTTTTATAATGGTGAGTGTGGCTCATCATAACAAAGTTGTGGTGTTTCTTTCTATTCAGCGAACGGAAATTAGAATGTTTATAATATATTGAGTAAGATTTTCATTCAAGATAGTTGTAGCAAGTATTTGATCCTTAAAGTGGTAAGCTTCTAAATTATCTAGAATAGGTAGTTACATAGCCCTGATGATACTAAATAATTGAAGAGTCCGTTAGAATTCTGTAAAATTGTATGCCACTCATTAGAAATGTCGTGTGGATTGTCTCTGTGGGAAAATCTTTTTTGTTCTATTTGTTGGCTTGAATCATATTCTACCCTGCAGTTTCTTTATGATACTTCTTAATCACTACCACTAGGGATATATCCTGACCTTTCTCCTAGTTAGACTGTGAAGAGTGAAGCAGTAAGCTCTGACTTTTTAACACTGATCAAGTTACTTAATGACTGCAAGGTTTTTGGTTTAATTACTTGGAAAAGTCTGTATGCTTTAAGGTGATAAGTGTTTTGAAACAGACATTTACATTTCTTCCTTTTTTCTCCTTTGAGATTAATTGGCTGCATCTCTTTATCTTCTGGATTTCTATTAATATTCTTAAATTCTGCTTGGGTAGTAAATAAGATAATTTTAATTGAAACTTAGATTTTATAAAAGATGTGACAGACTAATGTAGATATTAATATTCCTGAAAAAGTTTTAGGTTTTTTAATCTAAATTTATTTTGAATTATGAAAATATGTTTCAATCTTCTGATACAATGACATCTCCGTGCTGTTTTATGAGGTCCTAATAATGTTTTTGGGATTCAGGACTTATAGAATTAAACTTCATTATTAAAATGATTGGACAGCCCTTTTGAAAGCAATAGAACAATTATTTTTTTAATGTGTATCTTTATCATTTAACAAAAAGGACTGTACATTGGAGACTACAAAATTTTCTTTTTTCTTTTTTTTAAATTTTTTTTAACATTCATTTTTGAGAGGGTGTGAACAGGGCAGTGGCAGAGAGAGAGGGAGACATAGAATCCAAAGCAGGCTCCAGGCTCTGAGCTGTCACCACAGAGCCTGACGTGAGGCTTGAACTCACGAGCCGTGAGATCATGACCCGAGCCGAAGTTAGACGCTTAACCGACTGAGCCACCCAGGCGCCCCATAAATTTGCCTTTTTCGTGACAGTATTTTGTTAGTTGTGTTGATAAACATGGAGCTATCTTTTTCGTTTTTTTTAATGTTTATTT